TCACAAACGCTCTCCATCCAACCTCACTGAGCTCGAGCTGTTTTGCAAAGAAGAATGGGCAAGAATTTCAGTCTCTCCATGTTCAACACTGATAGAGACAAACCCCAAGAGACTTGCAGCTGGAACTGCAGCAAAAGGCGGCGCTACAAAGTATTAAGGCAAGGGGGCCCAATAATATTGCACGCCCCACTTTTCAGTTTTTTATTTGTTAAAAAAGTTTGACACATCCAATAAATTTCATTCCACTTCACGATTGTGTCCCACTTGTTGATTCTTCACAAAAAAATAAATTTTATATCTTTATGTTTGAAGCCTGAAATGTGGCAAAAGGTTGAAAAGTTCAAGGGGGCCGAATACTTTTGCAAGGCACTGTACATATATTAGATTATTTTTTTAGACATTTATTTACATATATTAAATAATAATCCTCTTCAACTGGGGACAGCTGTGGCCGAGAGGCTAAAGCCGTTGTCCTCCAATGGGAGAGTTGGGGGTTCGATTCCACCAGCAGTCACATGCTGAAGTGTCCCTGGGCAAGACACTGAACCCCTCAATGTCTCTGATGTGTGTTCCATCGGTCTACAAATGTGCTCTAAAGCTCTGATTATTCTAAGCAGAGATCTAGAAGAGTGCTGTATGAATGGATAAATGAAGGCACAGATTCTAGTGTAAAGAGCTTCGAGTGTCTTGATAAGATAGAAAGGTGCTATATAAGTGCAGTCCATTCAGCAGCATCGCTGTCACGTTAGTAAGTGTTGAAATGAGCCTCCACTCAGAACTGTGAAGCTGCAACTCCGAGTATTTTTTCAGCGTCCTTTCTTAAAACAAATCATGGGTCAGAACTCGTTTAGCCGTGCTGTACCTTATGAGAGGAACAGAGGACGGTGGCAACATTAATAAATCAGCATCTTATATCGCTAAGACACAGTCCCAGTCTCAACTGTGGAACAAGACGGCTAAAGCGTTAGCCGTCTTGTTAGCCGCTAAGGACCGTGTCTGAGCTGTAAGGCAAAGCTCTCTGTTTACCTACCGGTCTACGTTCCTACCCTCACCTATGGTCATGAGCTCTGGGTAGTGACCAAAAGAATGAGATCACGGATACAGGAGGTTGAAATGAATTTTCTCCACAGGGTAGCTGGACTCTCCTTTAAAGATAGGGTGAGAAGTTCAGTTATCTGGGAAAGACTCAGAGTAGGACCGCTACTCCTCCACATCAAGAGGAGCCAGTTGAGGTGGTTCGGGCATCTGGTAAGGATGCTCCCTGGGCACCTCCCTAGGGAGGTGCTTCAGGCATGTCCAACTAGGAGGAGACCCCAGGGAAGACCCAGGACATGCTGGAGAGATTATGTCTCTCGGCTGGCCTGGGAACGCCTTGGGGTACCTCCAGAAGAGGTAGAAGAGGCGACTGTGGAAAGAGATGTCTGGGC